ATTGTGGCATGACCATCCCCCCTGGGGGGTGATTTCTCGCTTTCTGTCTCTATGTCTCTCTCTGTCTGTCTGGCGAGTGCACGCGCCCTACAGTGAAAATCTCTCAAAAACAAAAACAAAAACAAAAACAAAACAAAACAATGCACCCACACAAAGAAAAAGGTCCTCGGGTGGGAAATTAAATGTGCTTGAGTAAAGGTGAAAAAAAGTACTGATTTAATATATATGAATTTGAGAGTTACTGCCAACATAATGAGAGGGAAAACTCTAGATGCCCTGAAGCCTACAATAATGCCTCCTGAATTTCTCTTTGGTTTATTTATTATTTATTAATTTATTATTTTAGGACATTCTGAGGACACCTAACATTTCTATTAACACCCTAAGTATAGTTATTACAGTGTAATAAAAATCCTTTTTATAATTTGCTTTTTTTAAAATGAAGAATTATGTATTTAATTGTATTTATTACGTTTTAATTTGACCAGAAAGACAGAGAGAGAAAGTGAGAAAGCAAGCTGCCAGGTCCAGGACTCAAACTGTGGTCAGCCGTGTGGGAGTCCAGGGCCTTCACCACCACACCACCTGCTGGCCCCCATCATTTGGTTTGTATGTATAAAGTCCAACAGTTAGATGGCTTCTTACATTTTACTTGTACTAGTTTCAGAATGCATTTTATTTTCCTCGTCAAGAATTGATTTGAGTTTTTAAAATAGAAGCATTAGTGAAAGCTGGGTTTATTTAACAAGAGATTTCCTTGTGATAAATGTTGCAAAAATCAATCCATGCCTCTATATAAATAGCGACTATGAAAAAGGAAAAGAGAAATGAGTTTTTTCTTTTTTCTTTATGAGACTACTTCTTTTATTTATTTATTTTTCCCTAAAAAAAACATCTTGGCAATTTGGAGTATAACCTTTGGCCAGTTTATTTTGCTTTGCTTAACCTCTCCCTATGTTGCAATATTATTGTTTTCATTCATAAAGCCTGAAATTTAATACAGGTTGAACACCCCTAACCTGAAAATTGAAATCTGAAATGTGCTTACATCTGAAACTTTTTGATTACTGAAATGTCACAAGTAGGAAATTCCACATCGGGTCTCCTATGATGGGTTGCTGTCAATATTCTGCAATATAAAAATATTTTATATGTACAAGGTATTTAGAGTTTGGTTCTATCTCTGAGAGATCACATTATGTATATACAAATAAATAAAATGAAAATCCGAGAAGAAGGTTCCACATAGCTCCAGCGAAATAGGTATTGTAGGGCACACGAGAAATGAAGACTTTCTACTGATAATTCAGCCTCCAGCAAACAAGCTAGTGGTAGGGAGCCCCCCCTCCAGCCTTCTATCTCTGTTTCTGTGTCTCTGTTGCTGTCTCTCCCTGCTTCTGTCTTCTGTTTTTTGGGTAATTTTTCCTTTTTACATTTTTTTTTAAAGGCAAAGTTTTCTCTTGCTCTCAGCTCCACCTTTTATCTTGTTAATTATCGCTCTGGTCTTCCACCCAGGTAGAAGAGGACAGACCTTTAGAAGAAGGTTCCACATGGCTCTAGTGAACTAGGTATTTCACATGGCACACAAGCATGCCACGCGGTTTTCTATTTTGTGATTTTTTTTTAAAAAAGGAAAAACAGTAATTACATTTTTTTCTTTTTTTATTGTTTCTCTCTCTTTTTCATTTCCCTTTTTCTTGTCTCTCCACTCTCCAAATATCCATTTAATGTGTTTTTAGAAGGATCTAAGAGCACTGTAGCTAAACATCCAAATACTAATAGGGTTAAAATATTCCTCAATATCTACTGAATCTGCTGCACCAGCGATCACAACAGAATGGCAAAGAGATTCTAGATCGCCTCTGTCTGCTTGCTCCTGAACATTCAGGCTGAACTTCAATAATTTGAAAGAAACACACCATCCATCAGATGACCAGAAATCACCGCCAAATCATGAGAAATATGGGAAAACGAGAAAACACCTCTCTTCCAAGGGAAAAGAGTAACTCTTCTTCATCCACAAGCAGTTCGGT